CGACTATACAGATTTTGATGATCCCTCTTAGAAGGTATCACCCTCCCTGTGGAGTGGGTAGGAGAATGGAATGGGAGAGGGGTTGGGGGACATGGGAGTATGGGAGGTAGAGGGAACTGGGATGGATATGTAAAATAATAAAAAAAGATAATTAAAAAAATAGGGTGTTGTATCGCGGTAAATAAGGATCAGGATAAACAAATAGGCCGAATAGATGTTTATTCAGGGAGAAATAACTTACAACCTAGACAGATGAACACCAGGAAATTCAACCCGATCCTCTCCTGTCTGAGTCACGCCAGAAAGAGAGCGCCTTATTTGGCCCCCTCCGACCTCCTTCCACAGGTCACTTCCGCCCATGGCTCCACCCCCCAATGGGTGTGGTCAGTGCTACAGAAGGACTATCTCACTACAGTTTGCACTGAGCTGAACTCCTGGAATCCAGTTGCAGAGAGGGAGGAGTAAAGAGCAAAGGGGTCATGACCAGGCTGGAGAAACCCACAGAAAGTGCTCACCTGACCAAGGGGAAGCTCATGGCCCCCACACTGACAGCTGGAAAACCAGCATTGGACCGACCCAGAAACCCCTGAACGTGGATCTCAGTTAGAAAGTCTGGGCAGTCTATCAGACCTCTGACTGTGGAACCAGGATGCATCCCTGGTGCACGAAAGGACTTCGGGAGCATATTCCCCATGGAGGGATACTCCCTTAACCTAGAGACAGGAGGGAGGGCCTAGGTCCTGCTCTAAACGACTTGAAGATTTTCATGATCCCTCCTGGGATGGGGGGGGGGGGGTTCAGGGTATGGGAGGGTGGGAGGAAGAGGGAACTGGGGTCGATATGTAAAATAAGAAAAAGTGAAAAAAATGAAAACAAGATGTTGCATTCCATGTTCTTTAAGATTTAAAAATTATATATTATAGTTATTGCTATTTTTATTCATGTATGTTACAACATGGTTAAAGTCTAAGTGCAAACACTTTATTTTTTATATCTCCTTTGCTATGCTTAAACTAGTTATTTCATAATGTTTCTAGTTGAATGGAAAGAGTTAAGACTAATTTGTAAGGTTTTTGTGTAGTTAGTATCTGTTCAAATGCAATTAGTATCTGTTCAAATGCAATTCTTTCAATTGTAGGTGTGGATATTGAATGGCTGCAACTTATGGGATTATTTGGTAGATAACCTGGTAGAATCTATCTAGCATTCTTAGGAAACTTAGCACACTAAATGTGGGCAATGAGTGCACTTTCTTATTAATTTAGTTTACCAAGTTGTAAAAACACTTATCTCTTAATGAGACACACTGACATATATCATAACGTGGGAATGGACTAGAATTTGACTGGAAAAAACTATTTTATTTACCTATGACCTTTTAATATGATGTAAATTTAAAAAATAAGTTATTAAGTAGAAGTACATGGAGCCTAAATGTAAGGAAAGAGAACATTGTTCTTCTTTTATTTCCAAGAAGAAAAGTTGATGTCAATTGGAAAACAGGATCTGTTCTATTTAATAAAATATTAAAGAAATTAGAGATACTCAGTTATTTTCCTAACTTTTGAACAATAAATATTGTAGCTAAGTTATACAATGTTCTAAGGATAGTGATATAGATACATTCTGTTAATAATCCTCCTTAGCCCTTACTAAAACAAATGAGAGATTCTATTCACTGTCAGCCTTGTATGTAATTCAGGTTTCAATTACTTGAGTTTGGAGAACCAATACATGGTACAAAGCTGTGTCTGTCTGACTATAGGGCCCAGGTTCTTAACTGTAGTGCTATAATGTTTGAACTTCTTGACGATTAAGGTAGCCAATGTAAAAATAATGATCTAGTTGTCAGTTTCATATATTAGAGCATACAAAATTAATACAAGCTTCTAGAACTGTATTCTTAAAGGAATTATTTGATAATTTGAAAAATATCCTTGTACTGTATTATTTCTTCTATGTGGTTCCCGTTCATACAGATATAACCTTAAAAATGCTATGCTTTTACTTATAATATACAGCAAAAACCTAACATAACAAAAAAGAAATTAGGTTATACTTAAGGCTGACATGAAGTCACTTGAAACTTACAACTTGGTATACATGGTACCAACTGGCCTGACTCCTGAGATTTATTGGTATATGCATAGATTAATGTATTCCTTAACCCTCTATTTGCAGTAGATAATGATTAACACTGAGACCCACAACTGGTCAAGATACAGAGGATAAGAACTTACAGGATGTCCAGCACTAAATGGGACATCTATATTACATCACCTCCTCTAAGGCTCAGGGATCATTGCAGAAAGGGTTTTCAAAAAGTGTATAAGGATCAGAGGCAGTAGATGATTACATAGAAACTGTTTCCTAAGCACAACAGGGCAACTGCACAAATAAACTCACGGCAATTGTGACAACACACAAGATGAGTAAAAGCTCCAGCCATACTAAATCCCAACATGAAAGGGAAAGTAGGGATGAATCCCCATCCCTAGCTGAGCAGCTATAATGATACTCGCTGAGAGTCAAATTTCTTTAAAAGTGTAGACCATGCTGACTAAGCTGTAGTGGAAGATCACACATCTATGAATATAAGGGCAGCACTAATTGGAATTCAATAAATGCTAACAAAAAAGGACAGAATGTTGGGTGGGTAGGAAAGTGGGTGGATCTGGGAGGAAATGGAGCAGGTGAATAGGATCAAAACACATTTAGAAAATTCTCAAAAAATGTTCAGAAAGACTTTCTTTCTTATATTTAAATGACTTTTAAGGTAGCATACACAGTAATAGATTTTATTATGTTTTTGAATATATATACATATATATACATATATTAGATCTTTTCTCTATTGTCTTTCTCCCTCATTACACCCTCCATTCCTTGCCGTTGCTGCTCTGTTTTTTTCCTCCTTAAATAGCTACACTTCTGCTTTTGTGGTATATGAATACATAATTACATTTCTTTTAAAACAATATTTTTAGTAATTCTTTGACAATTTAATATATTTTTATCACACTTCCCTCCTCCATCATCCTCCCATATTTACCTTCCCACAAATGTGACTTTAAGAATTTTCTTTTCCATTTTCATTCAGTCTAATGTTTGTTGTGGTATTACCTTTAGGGGTTGGGCCAGTCCTGGAATGTGGGTGACTTATTTAAGGGGGTCACATATAATTATGTTTCTTAGTAAATTATTAAATTGAAATAGTTTTCCATGTTTGTATTTCTTCTAATTGAGCAGAAAGATAAAACAATTCTCATTGGGCTCATTTAATGGGGAAATACTTTTTTTTTTTTTTTTGCAACATCCTACTTTGTTAAAGTTACAAAGTAAGATGTTGTAAAAAAAAAAGTAAAAGTTAAGAGACAAGGTTCTGAGACTGGTCAAGTAGTTGATAGCTTTTTGATCAAGAGTAAATCACCAACCTCTCTGTGCCTCAATTTATCTCTTAAAAATGGGAAGCATAATGTTGCATTTGTGATTTAGTCCATGTAAAGGATCTGGAACATTTTGGACATAGAATTATTTAATAACCTAGGTTCTGGAAAGGAGTAATGAGAACATTTGAATTCAAATGCAAAATTGAATATAATCTTATGAAAACCATGTGATCATCTCTTTTTTTGTCCTGCATCTTACATTTTCTTTAAACAGGTGTTTTTGATTTTCACTGTAAATGACAAGAATGTCCCTAGGAAGGTAATGCCAGATGGTGGCTTTTATGTCTTCAGATGTGAAGGAATCAAATAAGAAGAAAGGAAAAGTAGATGAAAGAGATGGGAAAGAAAATTCTGAGCCTATTCTAGTCCTTTCCTTGTCTACTTCTGACTGTAGACAAGCCTACCCCTTACAGCAGTAACAGTGAAACTTCCAGGAAAGGTCAGTCCTGGATATAATTAAATATTTTGAAATGAGATGCAAATCAAACTGAACTGTGAGATGAAAAGGATAACACAATCCTTGTCTTTTCTTAACCTTAAGTACTCACTTTTACTGAATCATGGGGCAAAGCAAAGTTACAAAAGCACACAGAAAGAAAAAAAGGAAACCTCACAAACACACACCTAAAACAATGAAACATACTTTGCCCCAAAACGTACAAAAGCAACTAATGCTGTATTTAGAACTAATGAAGTAAAATAAAACTTATCACCTCTATAAAACTGAGTTTCTTAAGAGTAATGTTTGCTTAATTTATGTATTTGATTAATTTTATGTTAAAAAATTAGAGGATTTTTTTTCTCAATTTCTACCTTAAAATTGTACATACTGAAATTTACATAGCATGAGTACATCTTTACTTAAACCAATTTTGAAGGAAGTAGTAACACAAAGTTCTAGCTATTTTTATTTTCTTGTTAATGCTATAATCACTCATTCTGAATTAGAAATTAAGAATACTAGTATTTTGGCATTTATTTAAACAAGTCTCCGAGTTTATTCTCAAGTTGGTTACTTTGAACATTTCAGAATTCGAAGTAATTTTCTTTCAACTAGGAAGAATTCATGTTTCCCAACTAGAAAAATAATTCATGTTTTCCCATTTTGTTATAAACATTCACCTTTACACAAGGCAGAAACTGCTTTACTTATTATAAACAGAAGAAATTTCTATATACTCTTTATAAAATGTTATATATAAATAATGCTGTGCTAGGACATAAGGGAACTTAATCAAAATCCTGTGTTGCTTCAGGGTAGTTATATGTGAAATGAAATTTTCATTGTATTGAAAGTTCCATTCTATAAATATTTATTTATTTTCAAACTTTCCAACATATTTGAAAAGTTTAATTTGTTTATAGTCAAAGCACTGGAGAAAAATAAAATTTGCTTCACAAGACACTGACGTGGATTTATTCTGTTCACATAGGGGAGTTCTTTCAGTAATAATGAAATTTAATGTGACGTGAAGCCATCCAAGATATGGTCCTAATAACTTAATTAGGAAAAATTAATCAAGAATCCATCAATCATTTTGGTCACTGTACCTTTTTTCTCTGATTTGTCAGAAACTTTTCCTCCAATGGGAGAGTAAGTAGTATCCATGGACTCGGTCCCTGTGTTCCCATTGCTAATTCCATTCGCATAGATCTGTCCAACTGGTTGCAACTGCCAGGTCAGGCCAAACAAGTGTACTGCTGCAAGAAAACAAGCGTACATTAACTTATTCTGACTCACTTACAAGGCTAAATGAGCTACCCTTTTGCACCTGAAAATGTCAGAATTAGTGGTCTTTTAACTAAGCCAATGGACTGAGTCTTTTTAGCTGTATCAACAGATACAGCTCTTTTCAAGTAGCTGGTGCTTAAATTACTGAGGCAAAAGCTATTCAAGAGATAGCTTTAGAAATTGGAGGATTAGTTGGCCAGTTATGATGGGATTGTTCTTGTCTTTTTAGGGCTGTGATCTCGCCTGTTTCCATTTTCTTTAATCACTTGACTTTGCATATGGAAAACTTCCTTTTGACTGATTCAGTTCAACTCAACAAATAATTACCATCTGCCTAGTAGTATTCATAGGCCCTTCATAACTACTACAGTTGTTAAAATCTAGATGCCTGTTAGGCTACTTTTGGTAGTTTTACAAATGTGAAATAGCCATATTATGTAGAAGAACTGACATAACATAGGTTTAATTTTCTATCAGAAGACTAAGAAGTATTTAGTATTATTGTGCATAAATATGACCATGCATCAATTTTGGATGAAATTATTAAAATATAATGAATTTTGTTCAAGGTAATGTAGTATTATTTATACTAGCAAAACAAAACATGAACATAACAAAACCTTAAATTTTGACTTGTTTTTTGGTTCAATAATTTAGTTTGTAAGAAATTATTATTAGTGTACTTAACATTGTCCATGATAATATCTGAAAATATTCAAAAGTTATAATGAATCTAAGTATTTATCAATTGGTGTATATTAATAACACAAAATTATATAGTTATTAAAGTAACATTGAAAATGTCATACAGCAACCTGGGAAACATTCATGAAGCATAAATTGAAAATATTAGGCTTCCCAAATGTATGAATTATATAATCTCAATTGTGTGAATGTGTGTGACTGTGTATACAGACATTCATATCTTAGAGAAGGAATGCGTGGAAGCAACATGCTAATGGTTTGGGAGGGTTTTAATTTTTCTCTATATGATTTCTCTATTTTCTATTTAAAAAACAAATAGATTATAGAAAGAAGATGTATTTGGCTAGATTGATTTTTATAAAAGTATTACTATTATAGGTAGATGCTTATATTTAGTAGTGCTTTGAAGGGTGACAGAGTCAGGGAAAGATGAGGGGACGGCTGAACAAATTATTACTTCATGATGCAAAGAATGTGTTGGCTCAAAGGAAGTTGTTTGGGTTCATTGGAGCTTAGCTATGCTAAATATAGCATTAAGGCCGCATTTTAGAAAACAATGGGTGCCACTCTTAGATATTTGCATTTAATTTATTAAGGAACAGCAACATTATTATTTCCTGAATAGATGACATGGTCAGTTTTCTTTAGGGTGTTAAATTAGATAGAAAATGGGATTATTGAGTGTTTTTAGGGAAGTAAATGATACCATCAAACTACATTTCTCAAAAAGATAAATCTAGTAAAAGTGCAAAACAAAATGGATTGGGTAAGTAAAATAAGTATCAAGGAAACAAATGAAGTGATCTTGCAATAATGTAGGTGAGAGTTTTTCAGTTAAGGTACTACCATAAGAATGCCTCAGTTATTTGCAGTGAGAAATCAACAGAAGTTCCAGAAGAAGAAATTGTAGGACGGTGGTGGAGTGAGCTTTTAATCCCAGCATTTGGGAGTTCAAAGCCAGCCTGGTCTACGGATTGAGCTCCAGGAAAACCAAGACTCCACAGAGAAACCCTGTCTCAAAAACAAAAAAAAATGATTATAATAAAATAATAAAGAAGATGAAATTGTACACCTCCTGTACTTAAGGCTCAGATTGTGGAAGTAGAAGCAGAAAGATGTGAGGGTCAAAGGACCAAGAAGTTTGCTGTGAGAGTGTGTCTACTCATAATAGCATCTATGTATGTATGTAGGTGTACTAAGAAATCATGAACAAATAGATGGATTATTTACAAGATTAATTCAAAATGGTTACAATTTAGAACCACAATAACTGAAAGAAGGGTGTATCCATTAAAATATTGAGGGGATTCTTTACTTAGCTTACAAGTTGTTGGTGCTTGATTTATGTTTTATGGATGACTAATTGAACAGATGGTTTGAGGTGATGTGAGAGGAATTAAATTAAGAAATCCCTAGAGACAGGGGTTTCCAGGGACCAATATGGCATCCAGATAATAATGCCTACTACAAGAGGTTTGAAGTTATAAGGGAATATTAACGGTAGAACAAGAGTGTAAAAACATGCACGCATAGAGTCAACAGTTGAAGTTGTGAGAGTGAATGAGGTCACTGAAGAGAGAGACTGCTAAAATAGGGCCCAGTGCAGAATCCTCAAATACTTCCAAAAGGCAAGAAAGAAAAAGTGAATCCGTCCATAAACCAACTCATATTTTTTATGTTATTAGGGAAACTGAGAGGATTTAATTTGCCCGTCTATCACTCATATATACTCATAGGAGTTGGTGACTGAAAATAGAGTCACTAGCCAAAGAGCCCATTTAAAACTCATCTGTCTACTTTTAGTTGGAGCTAAAGAGATTTCTAACATCTTGGTTCTACTTTATCTTTAAAACTTTTAAGCATTTAATTGGTTTCTCTCTTTTCTTTGGATTAAAGCCAGTATAGCTTAATGATTTTCTTTTGCAATTAATAGAAGCTACTGGAACCAAAGGATAATGGTTTTAAGTAATATATGACATATTCAAAAATGCAATATTACTACCATAGCTGAGATTTCCTGGCCAAAAGAAGTGAAGTTTGGTTCCTAGTATTGTGTCAGTCCAAGGTATTTGTCATTATCATAGAAAGTTTGGTATATTCAGGCTCCCAAAAATAATTTTAATATTATTGATATTACAAATCACATTGAAACCTGTTCCATTTCCTTGGTTCAATTATTTTTGTGAAATTAGATTGACCATTTATAACAGAAGGCATAATGGGTGTCATTTTGAAGACCAAGAGACCTACTTTATGTACTTTATTTAAGTTCAACCATTTTCCTGAGGGCATGAGAAAATGAGAAAAAAAATGCATGTGATGAGACAGTCATTTTGAAATATGTAATGGGGGATTTATCTTTTAGAGTCAGAGGAAATAGGCAGATACAGAGGTAAGGGCACATTTAATAGAACATTCTGTGATAGCAATGAAGTTTTATAATTTTTTAAGTATATGTTTCCCAGAGAGCAATCTGTTTAGAATGTATATTTGTGTTAATATATAATGAAAGTTAATTACTTGCTACAGATCAAGGGTACCATGGCAAGGTGACTGACCTTTTCTCTCTTCCAAATTGAATTTCTATATGCTGAGTTGCAAAAGGAACCCAAACACTGCATTTACATGAAGAATAGACTGTGGTGGTCTCTAAAAAACTCTGGAATTTTATTAGAAACAATCATAGCTTGCTCATTTTAAGGCAATCAATAAACATATATTGATTTGTGCTATATATCAATGTATCATTTGGTAGTAGTTTACATTAGGGATTATCTTTTGATTTAAGAAATATTTTCAAAATATGTGCCAAGTATATTGGGAATGTTGGGAATATAGACAGAAAATGGATAGAATTAGAAATCATTATACTAAATGACATAACTTACACTCAGAAATAGAAAGAGTTCATGTTTTTTCTTATATGGATTCTAGGCTTTAACCTATGTACATGCACGTATGCACACAGACACACAGACACACACACACACACACACACACACACACACACATATGCCTGCACGCACACACACACACGCGTGCACACACAGATAGAGAGAGAGAGAGAGAGAGAGAGAGAGAGAGAGAGAGAGAGAGAGAGAGAGAGAGATATGGATACTAGAGGTAAACAATTCATATAGCCTAATTAGTATGTACTAGCTGACTGACATCTTTGGAAAGAAGATGAATCAAATTCTCCTTGACTCTCTTAAAGATAGGTATTTTCATTTGAATCAACTACATAGAATAAGGCAATGAATAAAGAACAATTTTAAGTTATAGTCATATGTTAGTTCGATTACTGATTTGGGCAAAGAAGTTTATTTTTGTTGTTTGTTTTTTGTGTGTGTGTGTGTTTGTTTAGAGTTGTCCAGAATTTAATTAATGGGTTAAGATAGACCAAGAAAAATACATGGGTATCGTATAAATTATAAAGTAGAACTTTTATGGAAACAAAGGAGCTCAAATGAGATATTTTTAGGAAGTTCTAAGTTCAGGGAGGGAAAATAAAGGTAAAGGTGTGGACAGTTAATATTTTGAATGTTACAGGATTTAGAATCACCTAAGAGACAAGCCTCTGATAATGACAGTGAGGAATTACTTTCTAAATTGGCCCCAAGGTATACTAAAGGGATTAACTAGATTAGGTCAATTGAGGTAAGGAGACACAGTTTAACTGTAGCTGACATCATTATAAGGGCTAGGGTCCTTGGCTGAATTTAAAAAAAAAAAAAAGAATGAAAGCTGAGACCTAATGTTAATCTTCTTTTGCTTCCTTACTGCAGATGCAACGTGACTGGCTGACCTCCCACTTCTGCTACCATACCTCCTCTGTCATCTAACAGTCAACACTTTCTGCCTTATGTTGTTTCTGCGAATGTGTTTGATCACAGCAACAGGAAAAACAACTAATAAGGGGAGGTCAGGGAAGGTCTCTCAGAGGAAGTTTGAATTAAATAGGATCAGATGATGCAAAGCTATCTTGAATATCTACAGTAGCAGATGTCAACCTATGAGTCACAATTCCCAGGGGGGTCACATATCAAATATCCCACATATTAGATAGTTACATTATGATTAATAACAGTGGCAAAATTACAGTTCTGAAGTAGCAATGAAATTATTTTATGTTTTGGTGTCACCATAAAATGAAGAACTGTATTAAAGGGTCACAGATTTAGGAAGGTTGAGAACCACCTATGTAGTACAAATCCTTCCAGATAGAGAGAATAGAGGTATAAAAGTCTCTGAAGGATTACATGGA